ATTCAGTTTGATCTGACCTAACTGGATTTCTTTGCGCCAAAGGAGCCACCTGTCTTAGGATTTTTTTCCCTAACATAATGGAGTGTCCCACCAAAGGGCCTTAGTTTGTCCTGAGGAAAAACGGGAAAACGGGCCATCCTGTGCACACGCTCTGCCAGGCAAGTTCGGCTTCACCTTGGTATATTCCCCCTTTTAATCTGCATGCGGGTAGGGTTTTGGGGTGACCCATTCGCTTTTCAAGCTTTTATTGAAGTCATGGCCATGCCTAACGCGCGTGTGTGCACACACACACACAGCAGAGGCCGGGCCTCCTGCTGAGATGAGATTTTTTTTGGGGGGGGGGGAGTGACAGAAGACGTTCCCAACCAATTTCTCATGTACCCAGGTTTCCTGACTCAGCGCCCTTCCAGTGGACGCACTGCACCGGGCTCGTGTCACAGGCATGCATTTGAAGTGGGTTTCTTGTGATTCCTAGCCGATTTCAAACACCCTTAAGTGGGCACTTAAAAACCGTTAAATGGAAACAATCTAACTTAAAGCAAATTATCCTCCAAATCCCGAATTTTTTTTTTCAAGTATGGCGCTCCTGTTCTTTCCCAGGCTTCCGCTTTTCTTTCTTTGTCCATTTGTGACCACACAGTTTGTCCCGCCCCCACTTCTGACTCTCTGTGTTCATTCGCATTTTAAGAATAATAGAGCTTCTAACACAGAGACAAGCCAGCTTTTGCAGCACCCTATGTGTCCTCTAAGAATACAGAAGACCTTCTGCCTTGCCTCTGGGTTAGGCAAAGCCACCCGCATAGAAGCAAAAAGTTACCTTTCACCCAGGGAATCGATCTGCTCATCTTGCCAAGACAGGTAGATTAAATTCTTCCCCCTCACAGGAAAAATCTTTGGGCCTCTCGCACTCAACAGCTAACAGCAAATACTGCTTCTAAGACTGATGTTCTCCAAAGACAAGGAGAGGATTTGAGATTGCCTGCTAGCCAAAAGCTGTCTCATTTTTTGCTCATTTATTCCTCCCAGATCTGTCTAAAGGCATTTGACAACTCAAGGTACTGTTCTTTAACAAACTTCATAGTCCAAGATGAACAGGCTTTATTCTTCAGAGGGTCAGAGTTCCCAGTTTCCTCTAATGGCCTTCTAACCTATGACACCAAGATAGAAATTCTGTTCCTGGAAAAGTTCTATCGCTACACAAAACCAAGTCCGGTAAAATCCAAGGTTTTTAATTTTAATCCCAGCCAGTTTTAATCGTATTTTACAGGTTACTCCTGCTGCCTAAGTCAAGACCAACTTACAAGACGCTCCCAGGACAACACCAAAAGTGCCAGCGTCCGTTCCTGAGACTTCAACATTGGTACCAACGCTCCTGGATCAAGGACAGCTGCCAACTCTTCTGGATCAAGGACACCTTCTGGATCAAGGACATCTGCCAAGTAAAATCTGGTTTCATCTGCTACTGTGTCTCATCCCATGGCTAGCCCCATTTCATAGGGCCAATGATGAGAATTTTTTTCCTCCTAGACAACCTGTCTTCTTGCCTCCCTCAAGAAACAGATGCCTGGCATCTCCGGGATGACAGTGAACAGGATACCTCTCCAGCCACACCTCCCACTGAATGCGGACCCACCAACACCCAGCTCTCCCCTCCCCGACATTGCTCCATGCCCACAGGAAGTAGCCAGGCTTGAGTCTATGCCCTTTTTCCAAAGAGAGCCTAAAATGTTGGTCATAATTATCACCTCAACTTCCTGTCACCCCTATATCCAAAGAGTCCGGAATGTTAAGTTGGGAGCATCGCTCCAGCCCCTGGCATCCATCCCAGCCCCCTGGCCTGGGAGTTGCCTTGGTCTGGACTCCAAATCCCAGCATGCCAGGTACTGACCCCTCCCAAGGGAAGGGTCAGGACCACTCCCAAAGGTATTTAAGTGGGTGCCCAGAGGAGGAACACGTGGTCCAGGGTTTTGCATGTGCTCCCCAGTTTTCTGTCTTCCCTGCCATGCTCTTGGCCACCCGAGAGCGCTGTATTTAATAAATCAGGGGCATTTTAATTTGGTTTAATTTGTTTTAACTGGATTTTTGTGCATTGGCAGAACGGCTCATCTTAGGATTTTTTCCTAACAAGCAGCACCCCTCCATGGCCTCGGCATCAGCTCCTGCCTCCAGGTTCCTGCCCTGACTTCCCTTCATGAAGGACTGTTACTGATACTTATGTAATAAACCCTTTCCTTTCCAAACTGCTTTTGGTCATGGCTTTGGTTAGACTGGAGACATGGGACAAAAAGATCTCTGCCCCCTTCCAGCTGGAAGCTGGTTCTTTTTTTTTTTTTTTTTTNCTGCAGGCCAGAAGAGGGCGCCAGACCTCATTACAGATGGTTGTGAGCCACCATGTGGTTGCTGGGAATTGAACTCAGGACCTTTGGAAGAGCAGGCAATGCTCTTAACCACTGAGCCATCTCTCCAGCCCTGGAAGCTGGTTCTTGCAGAGAATCTGAAAACCGACCAAAAGATTCCCACCAGAAGCCCGAGCTCTCAAAAGCCCCAGCAAAACACTGGACAAAGCAGACACTTAGCTCCAGATTCCAAAGTGACCACTGGACTCAAGACACACCTACGGGACCCCAAATCTAACCGATACTCCCGATACCTTACCAAGCACGTCACTTTCTCCCACCCAGCTCCCACAAAGTTTCTAACCCTGTCCAGCCACACGACTTCTTGGACCTCCAACTACAGACCCCTGACTCACCCAGGAGCAATTAATACCTAAATAAACCTGCCTTTTACTCTTCAATTTCGCTCAATTGGGCTTATTGCCTTGGCAGGTGGAGAAGCCAGTTAACTACTGTCACAACAATGGAATCCTAAAAGAAGATAGGCATTTTCTCAGTGGAGGCTGCTCTTCCCAGACCACCCTAGCTGCTGTTGACACAACCAACCAACGCATATGAGGGGCCGTGGTGAAGGTACTGCCATGTCCTCTCCATTGTTAGGGAGGTTTATATTGTGAATAAGAGAGAGAAAATGCCCAAAGGCACCTGGAGGAGTCCAGAGTAGAGAGGAAGAGAAACAGACTGGACATGACCAGGGCTATCCATGAGAGAAGGGAAACCTTCCCCCATAAAGAGAACAAACGGGTGTGTTGAGGAGATTGGCCTGGAGATGTGAAAAGAGCCAGGATGCTAGTACGGGTGACAGGCCCTTGCGGCACTGCGCATACCGCCAACAACACCACCACAGACATCCATTTGTTCCTCCCTGCAGCCAGAGGGAAGGGAGAGTTTCCTTTTGGCAGGTGGGAACCGGTTTCACAAGTTCGGAGGAATGCTGACTTTCTCTAAAGGCCTCTATAATCCAGTTTGAGCTCATTTCTGGCTGTCAACACCAGGAAGCCCACAGACAGGCTAATCTAATCTAGGCAGTTCCCCAATTGAGGCTTTCCTGTCTGGCGGCTGCAGGCTATGTCAAACTCACCAGGATTCACTCCTAGCATTTGTAAGGCCCTGGGTTAGGCCTAGAGAGTCAGGGAGGTCGGGAGGGAGGAAGTAAGGGAGACTGTTCACCGAGGAACCAGTTTTGTTCCTGCAATGCCAAGACCTGTACCTGACCTGAGAATATTTTTACCAGCATGGCGCCTTCTCCCTTCTGGACTGCCACAGCCATAGCCTCGCTCACTGCTCCCAGGAGTCTCATCCCTGCCCTCTGCCCTCACCTCCCACTCTTCCAAGCCCTCCACTCCAGCCACACATACCTCCCCTGAATGTGGGCAGCCGCATCCATAGGCAATGGGTCCAGAATGAATAAAAAGAAAAAAGCTAGCTAAAATTCAGGCTTCATCTCTCCCTGCTTCCTGACTGCCGATGCAATGTGACCAGCCGCCTATCATTCCTGCCACCATGCTTGAACCGCCATGGATGTCCTTGGCCTGGGTTTGTGAATGGATGTCTAAGACCCACCCCCATCTGAGAGGTAGACCAAACTCACAGTCAGTGAGGATTGCTGCCCAAAGGGCAGCGGGGCGGTGGCAGGAATGAAGGCTCTACACAGTGAGCACATTTCCCAACTGTTAGAAACCAGGTCCTCTGCCAGCCTGCCTTCAGCAGCTCAACCCCAGCAGCTACATCATTGCGGGTATGTTATCATTGCGCCAGTACATCATGCCTAGGCGCCAAATGTGATCTGCGGCCCTTTCAGATTTGCTCTCTCCGTTTCTCTCTTGTCCCCTCCCCCTCCTCAAGAATCTGTGCCCAGAGGCATTGCTAAACTAGAGCTAAAGGCAAAGGGGGCCTTGTGGAAATGCCCAGAGGCACTCCTAAGGGCACAACAATTCAAATGGAAGCTGATTTCCCACTAGAAGTGGCCGGACTTTCAAGTTGCAGAAGGAAGAAAACTGGCTGTCACAAATTCTAAATCTAGAGCTGGGGAAGATGGTTCATTGGTTTAAAAAAAAAAAAAAAAAAAAAAAAGCATTTGCCGAACAAGGGTGAGAACCTGGTAGTGAATCTCTAGCACCCACGTAAATACCTGGTGGGCCTGGTAGCCTGCCTGTAAATCCAGATCTCAGAAAGCAGATTCGGAGTCCCCAGAACAAGCTGGCTAGCTACTAGCTGACTGGCGAGCTCTGGCTTCAATTGAGAGACTCTGTCTTGATAAAGAACATGGAGAGCTGTTGTGGGATATTCCTTTACACTGTGCGAGGATGCGGCACTGGGATTGGTTGACTGCAGGGCTGAATGGAGGATGCGTCCCTGGGATTGGTTTACTGCAGAGCTGAATGGAGGATGCGGCACTGGGATTGGTTTACTGAGGAGCTGAAGTGAGGATGCGGCACTGGAATTGGTTTACTGAGGAGCTGAAAGGAGGGCTGGAGAGGTCGCTCAGAGGTAAAGAGCACCTTGGTGGGACCTCCATATATTAGGAAAATTCCTAAGACCAGCCACTCCACTGGCACAAAAAAAAATCCAATCAGGTCAAATCAAACCAAATTAAAATGCCCATGTTTTTATTAAGTGTAGCACTTTTGAGTGGCCGAGAGCATGGGACGGGAGACAGAAAACCGCGGAGCACATGCAAAGTGTTCCTCCTCTGGGTGCCCTCTTAAATACCCTGTGGGGTGTTCTGGAGAGTCAGGATTTGGAGTCCAGACCAATGCAATTCCCAAGCCAGGGGGCTGGGATGGATGCCAGGAGCTGGGGTGATGCTCCCAACTTAACATTCCAGACTCTTTGGATATAGGGGTGACAGGAAGTTGAGGTGATAATTATAACCAACATTTTAGGCTCTCTCTGGAAAAAGGGATGTAGACTCAAGTCTGACTACTTCCTGTGGGCATGGGACAACGTGGGAGATGGGAGAGCTGAGAGTTGGCCTGCTCACGCTCAGCAAAAGGTGTGGTTGGGGCGACATCCGGTTTCCTGTCATCCTGGAGACCTCAGGCAGCTGCTTTTTGAGGGAGATGCGAAGGCAGGTGTCTAGGAGAAAAAAAATATTGTTATTATTGGCCCTATGAAATGGGGCTAGCCATGGGATGAGACAAAATAGCAGATGAAACCAGATTTTACTTGGCAGGTGTCCTTGAGAGCTGCTACCAATGGTGAAGTCCCAGGAGCTGGTGCAGGTGCATTTGGTGTTGTCCTGGGAGCGCTTTATAGGTTGGTCTTGGCTTAGGCAGCAGGAGTGACCTGTAAATATGCTTGAAATTGGCTCGGGTTAATGTAGCAGTAAAACAGTTAAAGGAACTGGGGACTCTGGATTTAGCAGAGCTGATTCTGATGTAGCAATAGAACTTTTTCAGGAATCGGTAAGGGAACTGGGACAGATTTCATAGCAAAAGGCTATTGCTTTAGGTTAAAGGAAATTGGGAACTCTGACCCTCTGAAGATTGAAACCTGTTAATCCTGGACTATAAATCCTGTTAAAGGACAGTACCTTGAGTTGTCAAATGCCTTTAGACAGATCTGGGAGGAATAAATGAGCAACACGAGCCAGCAGGCAATCGCAAATCCTCTCCTTGTCCTTGGAGAACACCAGTCTTAGAAGCAGGGCTTGCCGTTAGCTGCTGAGTACGAGAGGCCCAAAGATTTACTTTGTGAGGGGAAGATTTAGTTTACCTGTCTTGGCAGGGTGAGCAGATTGATTCCCCGAGTGAAGCCTTCAGAAAGCTGAAGGGGTAAAAGGCCTTTTTTGCTTCCGTGCAGTTGGCTTTGCCAAACCCAGAGACAAGGCGAAAGGTCTTCTGTCCCCTTAGAGGACACATAGGGTGCTGCAAAAGCTGGCGTGTCTCTGTGTGGGAAGCTCCTGTTAAAATGCCGTGGTCTCAGATTTGTAAAGGCACTTCAGAACCAGGTACCATTATGTGGTATTTCAAACTGGGCATATAAGCTATATTTAGATGTGTATTTTATCCAGTTAGTTACAGTTTACCATTGCTATGGAATACTAGCACACGTGGGAACTCTACAATGGTGGCTCCCCGTGTGTTTGTATTTTTCCAGAGCTGCTGTAATCTGGAAGCACACGTGCACATAAAAACTTAAATCCACATCATGAAAACACAGTTACACACTTATATAAACATATTGTGGCCACATTATTTTAACAGGGAAACAAATAGGACAGTCTTAGAAACCTGTGTCGGCTGAGCAGACATTGTAAGAGGGAACAGAAACATAAGGCCGGGGAGACAGCTGATGGAGAATCTAGACAAGGTTAGGCCTGGCGGGGAAATGGCAAGCAGCTGGGAAGGGGGCGGGGAGTGGGGCCAGAGCGGTTTGGGGCGTACTCAGAGGGAGTTCGAGATCCCCTCATTCTCTGCACCGCCACTACCAAGGCCAATGAGGCTGAGTGTGGAGCCCAGGGAGCGGGTCCATTGGAGTCCCATGGGAGCCCATCTGCTCCCAAGCCGCGAGGTAGACAGACACACATGCAGGCAAAACATCCATACACATAAAATAATAATTAATTTTTAAAAAAGAGAGAAATGGCCATTAGCTATGCGGGCAAAGCTTAGGCAGGGCGTCAGGGTGCAGAGAGTTCAGAGAACAAAGGCAGTGTATCCATCCAGACATGGAGGAACCAGGGTGGATAAAGTAGAGAGAGGGCACATGGAGGAATGTAGATTTAAAACTATCGGTTATTTTTAAGTTATAAGAGTTAGAAAGAAGCCAAGGCTAAGGCCGAGCTTTCATAATTAATAATAAGTCTCCGTGCCATGTGTTTGTATGTGAGCTGACAGCCCCAAAAGAAAAGTCTGTCTGCTAGTATTCAGGCATCTGTACTGGCCTGCCCTTGGGGTCCTGATGGGATACATTCTCAGCTGCAGCCGCTGAGAGCACCTTTCTGTGCACGTTTGCTCGTTCCCTTATAAAAGGTGGGCCTTACACACCTCCGGTCTCTCGCTCTCTCTCTTCCTTTCTCCCCCTCTCTCCCCCATCTTTTCCTCTCTCTCCCCCCTCTCTCTTCTCTCTCTCTATTCCTCTCCCTTCCCACGAGGTCACTTCTGCACCTCTTCCTCTCCTTCTTTCTCTTCCCCTCTCTCCAGCCCCCACCCATCTCTCTCTTCCACCACCCTTGTCCCCAGGGACCAGTCTCTGCCCCCCTCTCTGCCCCTTCTCTCTCCTCTTCCAATGAACCTCCTAGGTGAGCCCTGTTGCATGGCATGACTTCTCTTCGTGGCGTTTTTGAGTAGATTGTGATCTCAGCCTCATACCTGTACACACACTCACGTACCCACTCGCACCTGCACCCTGCTCATGTGCCTTGTGCTCGTGTGAACAACCATGCATGCACACACACATCATACATGACGTCACACGGAAAGAACTCTGAGTCCGGCAAAAAGTATTCCTCAGACATGGAGACAAAACAGAGTGGAAACTGTGGGTAGCTCAGTTGCCCTTGACTCTCTCCAGGCTCCTGTGAATGGATAAATGTGCATGCTTTCGTCTGTGTGGCCATGCGGAGTGAACGTGTGCATACATGCCAGTGAGAAAACACCCAGTAGGGCCGGAGAGATGATGGCTCAATGGTTAAGATCTGACTCTTCTTCCAGACAACTTGGGTTCGGTTCCCAGCACTCACGCGGTAAGTGTGTGAACTCAGAACCATCAGCAACTGCAGTTTCAGGAGTTCCGATGTTCCTGTCTGCCCTCCTTGGGCACTGTGTGCACATAGCGCATAGGCGTTTGCCTGGAACGAAACAACCACACAAATAAAATAAATGAATACAAAATTTAACAATATGTTTTAAATTTGAAAATAAGTAGATCCACCTTTTTTTTCTTGTTTTTTTGAGAGAGGATTTTGTTGTGCAGCCTTGGCTATCCTGGAACTCTCTCCGTAGAACAGGCTGGCCTCCAACTCAGAGATATGCCTACCTCTGCTAAATGCTGGGATAAAAGGCATGTCCCACCACTGCCCAGCCTAAAAATATGTTTTTAAATGAGGATGTGTTGGATGAAGAAAGAGGAGAGGATAGATGATGTAGTAATGTTTTAATTTTTAAAAATGTTTAAAATCAACAAAATGGTGTGGCAGTGGTAGCACACACCTTTCATCCCAGCACTCAGGAGGTAGAAGCAGGGGCGTCTCTGAGTTCGAAACCAGCCTGGTCTACAGAGCAAGTTACAGGACATCCAGACGCAGAGAAACCCTATCTCGAAAAACAAGACAAACAAACAAACAATAATAATAATTTTTAAAAATGCTCCAAAGACATGAGATGCAGTTCCACAGTTGGACAGAAGGTGGCGCACTACGCCGGTTTACAGCTCCCTTGCACCCTGTTTATTGGAGCAAAGTCAAGGAAATTTGTCGAGAATAAAAAAGTTGACAATGTCGTTCGCCAGTTTGGGAGTCACGCTCCTGAAATATTTTCCTTTGCTAAGGAAGGAAATTGACAGTACACTCTGGAAGACTCAAGTTCAAATATCTGCAAACCCCGATTACTGAGGCGGGAGAGGCAAGTCCTCCAGCAGCGCTGGTGTTTAAGCCTTATTAGGTGACTCTGGCTCGTCTAGAACTCTCCACATAAAGCAGGTTGTCCTTGAGTTTGCAGCCTGTACACTTGCCTCTGGAGTGCTGGATTACAGGCGTGCAGTACTCACCGTGTCTGGTGCGCCCTTTATTTATTTTTGTATTTCTGACGGGGTCTCAAACTGACCAGTGCCCTTGAAGTTGTGTTCCTCCAACCTCCCCAGTAGCGGGGGTGGGGGGGGGGGGTGTTACAGGCCTGGGCCACCTGGCCTGGCTTCCTTTGTCTTTCTGGAGCCCAGGCTGGTTTTGCTGCTCAGGGCTGAAGACCTGATATCATATCTCCAACACCCACATAAGTGAAAATACTGTGTCAGCCTCCCTGGTGCTGGGACTGCGGGTAACACTGAGGATTCTAGGAATAGGAATAGGAATACAGAAATATAGGCACCAGGAATTAGAAGGTGGAAATTAGAATGTAGAAAGACATATAAAGTTGCAAACCTAAACAAACTACCAACAGCTTTCTCAGCAGCTTTAGGATCTATTAACAGCAGTGGGTTATTTCATTTTACAACTGGCTGCTCTGTTTACAAGGCTGAAGTTTCCCTCTGTAAAATGAGGGTTAGCCCCAAGATAACACCCCAGGTCACCTGTGATCAACACCGGATACAAGCAGAGTCACCCTTTAGAAGGTGGGATGTATGTGACTTCTGCTACACGAAACTGGCAGCCTTAGGGGGAGTGCAGAGCTTGGGTGAACACCACCAGGGAGTGCCAGGCAGAAACAAAGACTTAAAATACAAACACTAGTCTAACTAAACACCTGTTACTGGAAATTGCAAAGAAAGGCAATTTGTATCTAAGTTTCACCTGAAGATTGTAAAAATTCCTTTGTTCATACCTAATGCTTGTTGCTTATTGCTATAAAAAGGGGGAGTTCAAAAACTGTCTTTTGCAGTAGTTGCAGAAGCCAGATCTCTGGCCGTGGTCTCGGCTAGCTGACACGTGGTGGTTTTGTTTTATTTTTTCTTTTTTTCCTGGAATATAGTTTGCTTCTGGTTCGCTAGATTTCGGTGGTCTGTTCCCATCTTTGCACGACCCCCATGGACCCAAGAAGCACAACCATTCCTAGCTAAAATAAATGGCTTCATTTCAGTTACCTCTACTTGTGCATGGGCACATGAGCTGTCGTGTGTGTGTGTGTGTGTGTGTGTGTGTGTGTG